CCAGGTGTGAAAATTCTGACGTACGTCTCACCTGCGTGTGGCCGCCGACGGATCGCGATCAGTCGTACGTAAGTCCGGTGTGTTTTTGACCACAACTAGCTACAAAGCAGGGAGGACCTCTGTGGCCGAGTCAGTTGCGTCAGGGCAGCACAATTCGGCAAGCCAGGGCGCGGAGACCACACAATAGCCTACGTGTTCGGATATCCCTCCAAACTACATACACGAAGCAGCAGCACTGTGATTCTTTGCAGACGACACTTGTGTAGGTACCGTAACGAGGTAACCGCTGAAGTACTGGTGCAGCAACGTCAGTGGAGAGTTTTATATATCCACAGCCACAAATTTAGTGTGAAGTGAGTCGTCCTTCACACTCAAATAAAGGATTCCGACCAGCCCTGAAGGCACCACAGCCCGGCCACTGACTCAGCTCAGTAAAGTAAGACGACTAGGCGGATCACCTGAATCGGCGAGGTGAGCTGACCCGAAAAACTTTTCCAGCGCGCCGGGAGAATTCCGTCAGGACCCGCGACCCGCTTCCAGTGGCGAACCGGGGCAGTCTGTTGTCACAAGCTGTCGGAATGCCTACACGTGTGGGAGGGAAGGGGCGGGGGCCTAGTGTGTGGGGAGGAGTGAGAAACTACTCATCCCTTCTCTCATTGTCACCTACGCGATAATTGACACGTTTAGAGTCACGTGGTGCGGTGACGTCAGGACGTGCCCTCGGTGGGACGTTCCTCGCCTTGGGCTTGATTTTTGCACGGATGAGCGACTTTAAAGGCAGGATCAACGGTAGAATAACAGTTTGCTTCGCTACTTCAACGCGTGGCCTTCAGCAAGTCATTAACGTGCAACTCAAAACAGCGCCGCCTAGTGTCCCATATAATGCAATGCAGCATGTACTTTCCCAACATCTTTACAGAATGATTGATTTACTAGTAAATGTGTCAAGGCCTAGAAGTGGGCAGCAGAAATCTCTTCCATACACATATCTGTGAAAATCATGGGAATCATAGAATATTTCTGCATAGCGATAGAAAATTGACGTGAAATTGGGCTTGGTAGCAGTGGGCGCTGTGAAATTGAAAAGATGATGTAAACCTAATATTTGTAATGAGCGTCCGGTCAGGCGATCCCCCACCCAGAGTTCCCCAGCAACTAGTAGATAGTTCCAGATTCGTTCAGGATACTAAGTATACAAATGACAAATACTACACGTTCACTCCCTGTTCTCGGAAGCTGTAGGATTGGAGTCAAGTACTAGTTTTACAGTGAGTCATTTTTAAAGTGCACGTCAGCATTGATAGTGTGTGTTTAGTCCAGTCATAGATCGGATAGAGTCCAACAAAATGGCGAACGTGAAACTCATTTTCCCACGAAACAAGGAAGTCTGATTCTAATTTTACAGTCTGTGACAGTTTGAAACGGCTTTGCATAGCTGCTCTACATCTAGCCAAGAAGTTAAATACTTTTATTTAACCTTCTTGATCTAGCCAAGGAGATTCATTCAACCCACAGCAAGACCTGTACCTTTTCTATGAAGATTTTCTTTTTCTTGCTTGAAGATGCGTTGGCTATTACTAGTACTACCTCTCCATTGCAAATCACACAACAGTGACGTGTTTACGATAGAACGTTAGTGAATTGCTACACCGATAATCACTTTCAGACGAGCGTCCCAATTGATTTGAGGCGCTGGCTACCGTGAAATGAGGAGAGAAAACTTGAGCCATCTTGAGTTCTTTACATCTGGCAAAAAGCCTCCCCACTGTTTTCCAATCTGAACGGTAATTACTTCAATTAATCGCCTCATCAAAGGAGATTATGTCATTGATGGGTAAATTGGGGTGAGAATAGTTGAAGAATAACAATAAGGAGAAATGAGGTGGTTAGTGGAGACCGCCAGCGATGAGATCTACTCTTACAGCTCATTATTGTTTTCGTATGAGGATAAGCTACTAGTATCCCAGAGGAAGATATATTTCTAACCTTCTGTGGATTCCGATTTGAGCTTTCATGAATAAAGAATGGTCCAAGCAGA